ATCAAAAACCTTATACCAATGAGCACACAAAGTACAAAAAGAAACCTTGATCAGTAAAGTCTGAAAAAATTCTAGATGAATTACGTACTTTTTACTAAAAAATAAGTTAAAGATCATTCTAAAAGAGGTAGAACACCTGAGTAATAACCAGAGAAGAAACCTGACCCCTCCCTCTTTATGAATTGTGTGGAATAGATAACTTTGTGTTTAAAAAATGTGTTACAGCAGAGAAAGAGATAGAATGCTAAACAACTCATTAAAGGAGTTCATGGAACTCTGATGAGAGAGGGAGGGAACTAATGACTAATACTACTTGTTTCTAATATTTTAAGATTTTTAAATTTATAAAGTTAAAACCAGCAGGACCTTCAGAAACAAGGATTTATTCTAACAATACAAGGATGCTTTAACATCTACTAATTGATTACATTAATAAAGAGAAAGCCGGTATGATCCTCTTGAGAAAAGTTGAAAGGCATTTAGTTAAGATTTAACCTTAATTTTTACATTCTTGGATCCTTCTAGGCTCTACAGCTCTAATTCCCTTATGGCTCAGACTCAAGGGCTAGCCTGCCCTGTCCGAGCTGTGCTGTAAAAGCAGTCTCTTTATTAAAAAGTAAAGAAATCTCTCAAGGCTTGAACTGCAGAATACACTTTAAAAAGTGACAGTGTTGAGAATGTTAAAACGTGCATAAAGGGCTGGAGTATGGCTCAAGTGGTAGAACTCCTGCATAGCAAGCGCAAGGCCAAGTTTAAACCACAGTACTGCAAAAAATAAAACAAAAACAAAAACCTACGCAGAAACAGTGGAAAGAGTAGAATAACCAGCAAGAGCTAATAGGTTGGGTTTTTGTTTTGTTTTAGTTTTTTTGGTTGTACTTGGGGCCTCACACTTGCTGGAGTAGGCAGGCATGCTACCACTTGAGCTACATACCCAGCCCTTTTTGCTTTGGTTATTTTGAGGTAGTGTCTCCTTTATGCTTGGGCAGCCCGGACTGTGATCCCTACTTAGTTATGCTTTCTATGTAGCTGGTATGAAAATGTGTGCCACCATGCTTAGGTTTTTTGTTGAAATGGGTCTCTCTACTTTTTTGTTTGGGTTGGCCTTGAACCACAATTCTCCTGCTCTCCATCTTCTGAGTAGCTGGGATTACAGGCTTGAGCCACCATGCTCAGTCTAGGTTGGGTTTTAATGGAAATATTAGGTATTTTTGGCGGCACTGGGTTTTGAACTCAGGGCCTCATACTTGTTAGTCAGACACTCTACCACTTGAGCCATCCCTCCAGCCCAAATACTCACTGGGCCAGTTTTGTTTTTGTTTTTGTTTTTAGCTGCACTGGGGTTTAAACTCAAGGCCCTCACACTTGCTAGGCAGGTGCTCTTACCGCTTGAGCCACTCCACCAGTCCTAATAGAAATGTTTAATCAAAGCATATGTTTGAAAAGTTTGATTATACATACTAAATATTTGTAGAATAAGAACATTATAGGTTGTGATGCAGAATAAGTTAATTATAGCAAATTAACAAGGGTAGGGATTAAGTACGATTTACAATTAAAGTCACAGATCTTTTGTTAATTATAAAACAATGTGCTTGTGTTTGCCGGTTAGGTAGTCTACTGAATGTACTTTACAAACTCCAAACTAATTCCCACAGTCAAGATCGCTTTCTCCTCAGCTCTCTTTTGGGCAGGGGTTGGGGGGCAGTTTGAAAACTGGCGTTTGAATTTAGGGCCTCACACATGCTAGATAGGCACTATCTAGCATGAGTCACTCCTCCAGTCACTTGAGTCACTCCTCCAGTCATTTTTGCTCTGGTTATTCTGGAGGTTGAAAAAAATCTTGCTTTTTGCCCAGGCTGGCCTGGACTATGATCTTCCCATTTTAGGCTTCCCACAGTCATTGGTATGACAGGTGCGTGCCACCATGCCCAGCTTTTTCCATTGAGATGGAGTCTCACAAACATTTTTGCCCCAAATGGCCTGGAACCATGATCCTCTCAATCTTAGCCTCCCAAGTAGTTAGTATTATAGCATGAGCCACTGACACCCAGTTCCTCAGCTCTCTGATTTGTTCTGCCCCATATTGATAGGGATCACGGAGTATTATTCCTTATTACTTAATCATGTTCTCTCTTCAAGCAGTTGCTTGGGGTTATAACATGAAAGTGGGATAAGTGGATCCTCCAAGACTATAGGTAAGGCTCTGTGGGTCCCGGGAGTCATAAATTCAGATAAGGCTGCATAAGAGAGAGCAGGGATTACTTTAACAGAAGACACAGGTCTGCTCAGGAAAGAAGCTGCACATAGAGAAATCAGCTAAAGGAGAAAGAAGAGCAAGGCCAAGGTTGAACACTATCGACACCAGTGATTCCTGAGACATGTTAGTCCAGAGGAGCATAAGTAAGTTGGACAAAGGTTCCAATCATCACATCATTATTTGCTAGCTGTGTGATCTTGAGTGATTAAATTGACCTTTATGAAGCTTCATTTCATAATCCATAAAATTGGAGCAAAGAATAGCTCACTTTATGGGATTATTGTGACCTTAGTACATGGTGTGTACTAGGACAGAGGATTTTACTTTCCATGCTGTTTTGTGCTGCTTATTGAATATTGACTTGTTGACAGTGGGCAGAAGAAAAGGCAGAGGCCCTGCAGTTGAATGTTGCCCCTGACTGAAGCATAGGTGCAGTGAAGTAGCATTCTCTCCCAGGGAAAATTAGAGGGTAGTCAGAAGTTAGGTAGAAGAGGTCTAGCCACCTCCTCTCATCTCTACCTCAAATACATGTAATTGTCTACTATGGTAAATAGTGCATGTGTCTAACTTCTTCATCATTATTGTGTTCAAGTGCCTTTCCAATGTCTTCCCACATCTCACCTCTCCCCAAATATACTTTGCTGTTGCCTAGGATCTTTAAGTCCTATTATTCCAAGAGGGTACACATTTTTCTGAATCCACTCTACTTCCTCCTATATAATCAAAGCTCTGATTTACCTTCCAGTAAAGGCTATACTCTTTAAAATGGCCTGAGAGGCCCAAAATGATCATGCCTCCCTGTTACCCATCTAACTTCCCCTTGCCAGTTCTGCTCTAGCCACCAGGCCTCCTTGTTCTGCCTGAAACACAGGCACAGGCTAGCTGTTCCCTCTGCTGGAGGGAGGCTGTTCTCCAGGGTGTCTCCTGGATCACCCCTTCCTCCTTCAAGCGTCCTCAGCTTCTCCATCACACTCATTCTGTCCTGATTGTAACTGCCAATCTTTGTTCCAAGAGCTCCAGTTCCCCTTTACTCTGTTCTGCCCCGCCCCCCGAGGACTTACCACCCTTTACTACTATATAATTTCATCTCTAATAATTACTTCCTTTCTGTCACCCTCCAATGCCTTGTAAACTGTATGAGGGTGGGGATCTTGCTCTTTGTCTTTACTGATGTATTCCAAACCTCTGAAACAGCTGATATTCAGTAAATGTTCCTGAATGAACTTCTAGAACTACCAAGTATGAATGACCTATTAGTATGTTTTAGTTAGATAAGTAGTAGGTATAGTAGGAAGATGACCAGTAAAGTGAAAGATACAGCATTGGCTGGAAGAAAGGAGCAGGCTTGGTTTTGGGAAGAGATTTACTTTTCTAATATCAAGAGATAAGTAATGGTTGGGCATGGTAGTGAATGCCTATAATCCCAACTATTCTGGAGACAGAGTCCCAAGGCTGGCCCAGGCAAAAGCACCAGACCCCTTCTGAAAAACTAAATGCAAAAGGACTGGGTGCATGGCTTAAGTGAGTGGATAGAGCACTTGCCTAGTAAGCTTGAGGCCTGAGTTCAAACCCCAGTACTGAGAGGGAGGGAGGAAGGGAAGGAGAAGGAAGTTAATTGGAAGTAAAGGGGTCTGGATTCTTGCTATGATTTTTATCACTGAGGCAGGTCACTTGAGCCTTTTGCCTCAGATTCTGAATCTACAAAATTGGGAGATTAAACTGTGTTACCTCTCAGGTCTAACCCTACTATGTGATTCTATCTCTGGGTTTTACTTTTAGGAAAGAAAATTAGAGCTTATGGAAATGCCCCAGTACCAGGTGACATTATTTTCACCTAACATCTTCTGAACTCCCCTGCCTTAAAGTTGTGATGTGCAGTGATGTAGTATTGGTTTATTTCTGTCTTTTCCTCAAGGATCTTATGTTGGTATAGGTTTCTTATAAGTATAAACCAAGAAACTGAGTTCTGGGCTAGAGTTCAAGAATCTAGAGCTTCGCTACTCAGTCCTAAAATTGTTGGGTAATTATCCAACAATTTTTCCCATCTCTAAGACTAAGGTATCTCAATAGGTCAGCAGATAATAAAGAAGAATCAGGTACATCCAGTGACTCTCTGTTAGAGGTAGAAACATACCAGATGCCATTTAGAGGAAATACATGGAGATTGAACTCATGGCCAATCTTAAGCTGCCTCTTTACAAACTTACATGTTCTTAATGAGTTCGTCTCATTGAAACTCAGAGTTTGGAGGTAGAGTTCTTCATGTTTATTATCATAAATGTTGTCTCTGGTCCCTCAAGTGGCCTTGATTTATTTATTGTTTCTATTTTTGTGTTTAAACACACATTATTTTCAAAGAACTATCCTTAAAACTCTTGAATTCAAAGATGTGGCAGTTTATCCATGCTTGAGTCTAGTTTTCAGTTTCTTCATACCATGTGTACATCTTCTCTTCACCTTTTCTTCATTTGGGACATTGCACTGGATGTTCACTGTTCAACATGAGTGAGTAGGAAAATGGAGAAGAAGGGAACCTGAGGCTCATAGCTTGGTTTCCTGGGCAGATAGATCTTGAGAGAGATTTTCGTGGTTGGCTAAACTAAATCTGAGGGTTTTCACCAGCTTTCTTTCTTTGCCCTGCTCTTTGGTTAGCAAATAGATCCTCAGGACTATCTGTGCTTCTGATGAAAGTGCCCCACATTGCCCTGGGCGTGAGCTAAATTCTTTCTCTCCCATTTAGAAGAGAAGCCAGATTGCTCCAAGGCCCGCTGTGAAGTCCAGTTCTCTCCACGTTGTCCTGAAGATTCCATTCTGATCGAGGGTTATGCTCCTCCTGGGGAGTGCTGCCCCTTACCCAGCCGCTGCGTGTGTGACCCTGCAGGCTGTCTTCGCAAAGTCTGCCAGCCTGGATACCTGAACATACTAGTGTCAAAAGCTTCAGGGAAGCCGGGAGAGTGCTGTGACCTCTATGAGTGCAAACCAGGTATGCCTGAGCTCTGTCTCAGCAGCCTCGCCCTTTGCAGGGTAGTAGAGCCCTCCTCAGCTGCCGTTGGCATGTCCTTCCCCACTGGTGATGAGCTTTCTCACCAGTACAGTGCGTGTCTGCCACTTTGGGCTAATGGCAGCTTGATTTCAGGCTTTCTTATTGGAGACCAAAAGGGATAATTCACCTGATACATCAGTGCCTTCAGGGAGGGAGCATGTCTTTTTGTCTTTTCTTCTTTTTCCTTCAAAGAATGCTTGATGGGGAGAGTGGGGGTAAAATTTATGGTACTATGGCTTCCTGTTTTGTTTCCCCAGAGAAGGTCAGAGCCCTCATTTGTGGATATAGCTGTCACTTGAAGTATTACATTTAAAAATAATCATACATAAAATTAATTTTACATGAATATGTTTGTCAAGATGCTGAAAGTTTCATAAGGAAATATTCAGACCTAATCTTCTTCCTTGTCAGCTACCCACTGGCCATCCCCATGTGCTAAGTCATCTTTGACTGTTTACTCACCCTTTTTTTTTTTAAACCAACATTGGATTTGTTGTTATGTCTTAGCTGTTTCTTGCTTTATGTTATTTCTAACATACTTGCTCTTGTGACAGCATCTAATATGGTCTGTGAACAGGTCTGAGTTGTAGCAATTTCTTCTTTACAAGTTTCTGACAATTGGTCAGTTTTTTAAAATTTTATTATTATTATTATTTTGTTTATTTTTACTGTTAGGTAAGTGCTTCAAGCAAAGCAATCTCTTGTCCATCTCTTGAACTGCTCTGTCAGGAATACCTCTGTCTAACCATTACCATGCACATAACCACCATTGGCCTAATTCTCCATGTCTTCATCTTAACTCTTAAATGTCGTGTCCCCACTGCTTACACAGAAAATTGGAGCTATATTTCAGTTCTATAGCATTGACCGAAATAAAAATGCTAGCATTAGGACCGAAGTTCTAGAACACAAGGAAGCTTTGAAAATTTATTAAGAGTTGGTGTTTCATTTGGGGCTCAGAATGCAAGTAAATGTCATAGTAAACAGTGCCTCTCTGTTTGCCCCTTTCAGTTTTCAGCGTGGACTGTAGCACCGTGGAGTGTCCACCTGTCCAGCAGGCTGTGTGCCCCCTGGACAGCTATGAAACTCAAGTGCGCCTCACAGCGGATGGCTGCTGTACTCTTCCAGCAAGGTCAGTTTGTCATCACTTCATCAGGTTTCTTCTCTGTATTGTATGTTGGCATCATCTGAGTACAGCGTCAGGCACACAGTTGGTTTTCCCTTGGGAAACCTAGTAGTTTCCTGTTTCTCTAGTGAAATCACTGAACTGTTACTATTACTTGGTATTTACATGTGTCTTTCATCAGATCAAAGCCAGGTGTCATCGGGTTAAGTCAATAATCCTTACAGATTCTTCCTGTAAGGGTGCTTGTGCACTTTTGAGAAACTTTTCAGGGAAAGTCGCCCGTCCCCCTCCCCCACCCCACTCTCCGTATGTAGATAAAGGAGGTAGGTAGTGAGGTGTCTGTCAGTAGTAGGCATGTCATTTGATCCTCTGCAGTGAATCTTGTAGGTGCTTAAGCAATGTGTCCAGTGTGATGAAACATTGCCTGTTTTATAGAACTACTCCTCATATCTACCCATACCTATTTCTTCTCTAGGCAAAGAAAAATCTGAATTCTTACAATGTCATCTCTGGAGTGATAAACACATCTCTCTTTGGCTTGATGAGGGGAAACACTGCTATCACTTTAATTCTAGTAGGACATCCATGTAGCCCTACAGAACTAGGCTTCTTCAGGCCATTGAGGGATCTTGGGTCTTATCCTTGACAGCCTGCAAAGAATCACCATGGAGCTGGGCCTTAGGACATTGCTTTGGAGGAGAATGGGTCTGGATATATAATTTGTAATCTGTTCCCTCCACCCATCACTCATTCCCCTTCTCTGCCAAGACTACCTCCTTCCACTTTTGCAGGTTACTATGCCTCTCTGTGATAAAGTCATCTCATTTGTTTCTTTCAACCTTAGTTCTACACATAATATCAGGCTAAAACTGTGCCTTATTTAATTTCTAACCTGTTCTCTTCCAGTCCTGGTCACAATGCCAAATACTTCCAGGTTTATTACATGACTAGATGTGGTTATAGACATTTTTTGATAAGCCAAGAATACGTGTGTTCCATAGTTAAAGTAAATGTGTTAGTCATACTCTCATTGTTGTGATAAAATACCAGAGTAAAACAGCTTAAACCAGGAAGGATTTATTTTGCTCATGGTTTCAGAAATTTCAGCCCATCATGGGAAGGGGGTGAGCATTGCAGAGCAGAGCAGCTCACATCATAGTGGCCAGGAAAGAGAAACAGAGTGGGAGAGAGAAAGAAAGAGAAGAAGAAAGCCTGCATTAGCCAGCTTTCTCAGGGCAGGTCTTTTTTTCCACTCAGTTAATCCCCTCTGGAAATGCCTTCACAAATACACCCAGAAGTGTGCTTTACTAATTTTCTAGCTTCCTCAGTCTAACCAAGTTGAAAATCAAGATTAACCATCAGAGTAAGCTTTAGGTTTTTTTATCTGATGATTACTTTTTCTTCTTTCCTTTCTTAAATTATGTTTGATCTTTGGTATGTATCCCAAACTTTGTCCTGTCAAAAACAGGACAGGCATGCCCTTTATACTGCATCATAAAACAGATGCAAAGATTTTCATGAAGATAATGTGCTGAAGAGGAGCAGCAAGCCTCTTATGACATTAGAATGCAATAATTTATGTGAAGGTGCTTGGAGAGTGGTGAAATATTGTGCACACATAAAGCATTGCTAATCACTATAGGAGAAAGATGGAGCATCACTAACAGTAACAGTTGTCCCTTTAAGGTCTTCATGAAAAGGAAGGTGGTACATTGTGTTGGAGAAGCTAATTAATCAAAGCTAAGCCAGTTGTTAACTAAGAAGTCCTTGAGTGATGAAACTCACTGTTAGAGATGTAATTTAGTACCATTGGCACATAGAAAGTGCAAGGCTAGTTTTCAGTCACTGTAGGGGGTCCAGATAGGTAGAAGGTATAGGATGACATTGAATCTCAGTTTAAGAAAGACCTTTCTCATAGTAAGTCATGCTAGATAATGACTGGCTAGCTATTTCCTGATGCAGACTCCTCTCTCTGGTACTGAATAGATTTCTTTCCATCTGGATGGCCAAATGCCAGGAGTACTTAGAAGAAATATTATGTTGGAAAGAAAGTTGAATTAGATGCCTTTTATTTCATCTCTAAGCTTTTGTGAGTCTAATAAACAGAAATCTTAGGATAGTTATTAATTACATTAACATAATTTTTGACTTTGGCATTGAACTGAAGAATGGTCAAAGATAAATGTGTCTCTAATGATGAAATTGGAAACATGGAGAAGGAAGTCATTCGAAATCTCATTGTAAATTATTTGCAGAGAAGGGATGAGTTCTCACAGCTCTTTAGTTTCCTGTATTTCAGATAGTCAGTGACCCATACTCATCCCTTGCCCCTGCTCTACACAAAGCCTTTGTTCCTACTTGATCAGGGACCCATTCCCAGGCTTTTTCATGCTCTGGACCTTTGCACTTGTGCCTGCCTCCTCCCAATCACCTCCTTCCCCCTTTCACCTGGCCAGCTTCTCCCCTCTTTCAAGACTACATTTCCTTCTCTTTGAAGTGCTTTTAGTCTTTAGGCCCTAACAATAACTTAGGCATCCTTCTGTGCTCCCTTGTAATTCCCCATTTATTTCTTTATCATAACACTTTTTTTTAATACATTGACATAATTGAGTTTTGTATGTTATTTCCAAGGAAATAGAGTATTTCTTAGTGTGTAGTATCAATTAACATATTTATTGATGAATGAATGAATGAATGAACAGGCCCACACATACCTATCATGATTTACACATTGAAGAAAAGAAAAAGAATGAATGTTTTCAGTTTTTTGTTATCTTCCTGCCATTAAGTGGTGATATCGTGCCTTGTCTTACTTTAGAACTTCTGTACTTCTCCCCCAGCCGCCTCCTTTGCTGTCTAGTATTCCTTAATGCCACAGAAACCCTCAGTTTCCAGCACTGTGCACCCCATTCACAGCATTAGCAGTCTTTGTTTTTCCATTCTACCTTTTCTAATATTGTTCATCCTGCAGGAGTCCAATTAAATTCCACTTTATCCACCCGGTCTTCGTGCTTCAACAAATACCTATCCTACCACCTGAGAACTCTCAACATACCCTTTTTCATGCTGTCAATTAATCACATACTTCCTTGTACTATTATTTAATTGTTACATGCATACAGTCTTATCCCACGTGCTAAAGAATGTTTCTAGAGGTCAGCAATTATGTCTTTTCCTCTGCCTATTTACTAATATTGAGTGAGTTGGTTAGTGCAAAATATGCTCGGGCTATGGCTTAACACTGCTCAGCCAAGTCAGCGTATTAAGAAGGTTCCCACTATTGGACTTTGAGCACAGGATAAAAGCGAGAGCACACAAGGGAGGGGTGAGGATAGGTAAGACACCTAAAAAATTAGCTAGCATTTGTTGCCCTTAATGCAGAGAAACTAAAGCAGATACCTTAAATGCAACTGAGGCCAATAGGAGAAGAGCACCAGGAACTAGAGAAAAGGTTAGATCAAAAAGAATTAACCTAGAAGGTAACACACATGCACAGGAAATCAATGTGAGTCAATGCCCTGTATAGCTATCCTTATCTCAACCAGCAAAAACCCTTGTCCCTTCCTATTATTGCTTATACTCTCTTTACAACAAAATTAGAAATAAGGGCAAAATAGTTTCTGCTGGGTATTGAGGGGGTGGGGGGGGAGAGGGAGGGGGCGGAGTGGGTGGTAAGGGAGGGGGTAGGGGCAGGGGGGAGAAATGACCCAAGCCTTGTATGCACATATGAATAATAAAAGAAAAAAAAAAGGTTCCCACTTAATAAGGAAGATGATCGGTCATACTCTGATAAGAGAACAAAAACCCAAACAATTATGAAAATAAAAAGAAGAAAGTCTAATATGTAGTAGTAGTGGTAGTATTTTAGAAGAATAAAACTATATAACTTTATTCTTGTGTATGTGCCATGTCTCTCTTTAAGAGCCTGATTTTGGGGCGTAAAGAAAAATAAGAAAGAATATGTAAAATCCTGTTGTGATTGCTTGACATTTGCCTACATATAAAGAGCACTGTTAAGAACTTAGAACTATTTTAGAACAAAGCTGATTATTAGAAAATTTGGTGGGGGAGTGGAGAGCTCATGTAGTACAACTGTAGAAGTTTACCTTCCGTGAAAATAACAATCCCTTTTTTGTAACATTTATTGTACTTTCATAGACTAGAAAAGGAGTTTGGGAACAGCTCCTCTCACCATGAAGACTAAATTCGTCCCATTCCCAGCAAAACCATTTCACTCATTCAGACCTCTGACTGCTCAGTGAGCTCTTGCTCAGTGAGTGAGTTTTCTCTCCGGTTACGTGTTTTCAGTTCACTTTTCATTGTTCATCATCTGTCAGACATGAGTTGAGCTCTTACAAGTGGCAGTACTATTTAGATGTTCTTATCATGTCTGGATATCACTTTCCACTTCCCTGACAAGTGCTGGGTTTCGCTCCTGTGTCTGGCCTTCCTAAGTGCAGATTATATCTTCTTTCCTTAGTGTTCCTGCTTTTTCTTTTCTGTGGTGGGACTGGATTTGAACTCAGGGCTTTGTACTTACAAAGGAGGCGTTCAACAGCTTAAGCCACACCTCCAGTCCATTTTGCTGTGGTTATTTTTAGAGATGGGATCTTGCGAACTATTTGCCTGGACTGCCCTCGAACCACAGCCTCCCAGTCTCAGCCTCCCAAGTAACAAGGATTTACAGTCAAGAGCCACCAATCACCAGGTTCTGCTTTTTGGTAATGGTTCATCCTTCACTTTTGGCTCTTCTGTGTCTAAACTCCTGAACTTGGCCCTGTATAGACATCATTCTCATGTATTGTATAGTTAACTTTTAACTTATTAATTCTTCCTTCAACCTGATTGAGAGTTTCAGGCATCCTACCCTACCATGTTTTTTCATCCTTTCCTATTGGTGCCAAAACATGATGTCAGCTACCTATCTTGCAGGAGAGGGTGTGCAGGTATAAGGCCCAGTGGCTCTGGGCCTTATAGTGGGTCTGAAATCCACTACACAATAACAA